TTTTTTTTTTTCTCTACAATTCATACCTTATATTTCTTCGTTCATAATTTGTTAAAGTTCGTCTCACTGGTAAAATTGATAAAATATTAATAGCAATTCATGGCAGCCTAAATTTTACATAAAAATCTAGGAAAATTGTGCGATCGAAACTTGTTAATTAAAACTATTATCGATTATTGCATAGAAGGATCTTTAATTAACCTTTCCTCCATTTATCGAATAAAAAGAACTTGAAAATTTCAATAACAATATAGACCAATAAATAAGAGAAAAATGTTAATACTCGATACCTGAACGTTGACTACAACCCTAGTAGTGGATCCTGGCAAATCACTGGTATTTTCAACAGTGCCAATTACGAGGATGTGCTGGCTCTCCCTCTCATAATCCAACCCGCGAATGGTTTTTATGACTCCAGTCTTGGGGTCTATGTCGAAGAGTTCGGTATCCCCTTGTTTGATCATGTATGTGATTTGCTTCTTTGTATCCGGATCATCGGCCTGGAATTAATTGCGTTTGCTTTAGATGTGAAGAGGATGGCCATTCGTCCAGAATTTACGATGTTCGTTCCAGTACAATGCTATGATGGGAATCGACGACGCAACGTATAATTTATCTATGCAATTTTCATTCCATACACAACACTGTCCTTTTTTCAGTTTTACAGACTGATGGTTGTAATTTTACGTTAACAAAGTGGAAGGAATTTATCAGAGATTAATATTTCGATATGAAATTGCACAATTTCAACTATTTATCATGTCATCAAGCTCACCGTTACTTGAAGCACCGTATAATCCGGTATATTCTCTTTAACTCGAGCTTCGTAGCTACTTTGATGGAAAACGGGAACTTCGTCCTCAACGTCTATAACGTTCACCGCTACCGTCGCAGTAGCCAGACGATAATCTGGAGCACCGTCCCTCGCAGTTACTACAAATTTATATTCCTGCGAAATGAAGTCATTTGAAGTTTATACCTTGAAAGTTAACAGTTTTTGCTTTGGTTTATTTAGGTAATATTGATGCAACGGGTGTATCAGTTCTGGTGTCACATCATTTTTGCTCAATTAGAATTCTATATTGATTTTAATAAATATTGTAGATTTTTCTGTTGGCCTATGCGAAGAATTATTCTTCTATTTTGTATTATTAATGATATTACAGACTTTTACTTGATATCATTATTAATATTACAGATTTTTGTGTATTTTCATTTTTCAACTGGCATATGCAGAGAATTAGTCTTTTATTTGGTATTATTGTCAATATTGTAGATTGAAAAATTTCTTTAACATGCTAAGGAAACAATTCCACGTGTTTACAAAATGGTAGATGTAAGAAGAGACGAATACTTACATCATTTTGCTCGTAGTCGAGAACGATTTTCGTCAAGACATCTCCAGTTTCGGGGTCCACCGTAAAAGGTATATCATCCGGCGCGAAATACGTGATTTCAGAGTTAATGCCTTCATCGGCATCCTCGGCGTGCACACGGCCGATTAATTTCCGAGCTTCTCCTTCCTTCACGGAGAACACATAAGGCAAATCCACGAATTCGGGATTCTTATCGTTAATGTCAGTCACTTTGATATTTACTGTCGCTGTACTGAACAGACCACCTGAATCCTCGGCTTTGATAAGCTACCAGGGGGGAAATAGTCGTGATTAAGTAAGTCGGCGAACATTTTCTCTGGCTGCGGTGGTACGAGAAAGTTTTTCGACGTAACTTAAATGGTTCCGAAGGGTGCATAAGATGGAAGAATTTTTTTTCACGAGAAAATAAAGAAGTTTCAGATTTGATAAAAAATTTTTTAGATGAAATTTACGAATTTTTAAAAATTGTTTCGATGGAAGAAACGGCGAAAAATGAAAGGAAGTTTCAGATTTGAAGGGCATTTTAAGGTTGTATTATTATGCAGCGATATTCGAAACAGCGGTTGAAGGATTCTCAGACGCAAACTCACCAACTGATAACGAGTCAAGTCCTCCCTGTCCAATTTCCTTATAACCGTGATCACGCCTGACTTGTCACCGATTGCAAATTGACGTAGGTCGTTTCCTGAGACGATGGAATAGGACACAGGGTCGTTTTCTGGATCAATTGCCTATTAAATGGTATCAAGCGTATAAATTGATTAGATAGGAGAGGCTGTAACGTGGGTGACATGTGTGCAATTAGCGACGATCAAGTAAAAGTCAATTATAACTAGACTAATAACATTAAAAATTAACGTTTCCATGAAAGTATCTCTGTACCAGTTTTATACAAATTTGAAAATAGTAATTTACAATGTAAACGAAATTTAACCGAAAGGAGGGAAATTAGTTTTCTTAAATTTTACGATGAAAATTCATAAGTAGCAGAAATTTAAAAACAAGTGATTTATAATATAAATTGGACTTAATTTATAACATAAATTAAATATAGAACTCGATAAAAGGAGAGGAATTATTTTTCTTAAGTTTGATAATAATCGGTAATTAGTACAGATAAAAAAGTTACAATTTGTAAGATATGAAGCTCGAATTAATATTAATTTTTAAATACCAGGATCATCTCCTTCACTATCAATAACACTTCACTCTTTCGATACAATTCGTAGCTCGGTACAGAATAAAAAGGAATATTAAAAATAGTGGACACTTGCAGTAATAGTCGCGACGGTGGAATTAATCGAAGCACCCTCGCTGACTTGCACCTCGTACACCGGTTGCTGGAAAACAGGACTCCTGGTATTGGGACCAGGAATTACGTTCACTTCGACGATCGTTTGCGAATATTTTCCACCCTTATCTGTAGCTTGAACCGTGATGCTGAATTGCTCGCCTGCGTTCAATTTCCTTACGGACTCGATCACGCCGGTCTTTGGATCAATTTTGAACTTGTGCAGCCCGTTATTCGAGACGTGGTAGATGCTGTACGTTATTTCGGCGTTTTCCCCTTCGTCGTTGTCCGTCGCCTCAACCTAATTTCACGATTGGACGAAATTTTGAAAAACTTTTAACTTGGAAAAATTGCACTAGTGTGAATATGCAATGTTCTCTACGATAATTTTAGTTTAAAATGCGCCTCGACGTGTTTGTTTAACGACGAAACGGAAGCAAGATTTTTTATTTATTACGCACTTATCAGGCCTTTGAAAGCGATAATCCCAGGCAAAAGTGTTCAGCGACGGGAATTAACGTGTAATTTGTAATTTGTAGAATATGTAGGCAATAATTTAAATATAAATTGTACAAATACTCGGTACCTCTGTAGAATCTGTCCAGCTTAATATACGAAAATTAAAGCTTACTGTGTTATTAGGTTGGCGCATATGAAACGTCGTTTTTCGAAATAAAATTTTACTTTTTTATCATGCTTTTTTCTGATTAAAAAAGTTTGTCGCGTTATTTTCTTGCTGGTTTCAGGTGTAAAATAAAATATATAGAAACTGTATTTAATTGCATGGAAAAATATGCGTGAAGGAGGGTAACTGTAGGAAATTTCAAACGAAAATGTTCCGTAATAGAAGTTATTCTACCGGCGAATATAAATTTGCTTCAATGACATTTGGGACTGTTCCTCTCTGGTCGTTAATGTCGTAGAATCAACGGTAGTAAATGCTTGCCTACCTTTGTCACCACGCTCTTTGTTTCTCCAGCTTGAACAGTGATAGGCGCTATCATAGGAAGCATAGGAGCATTGTCATTAACGTCGTTCAATGTCACCACGAAGGATAATGGCGCAGATGCAGCGACGCCTGTTTTTTCTCTAGCAACCACTTGAAACCGGAAACGTCCTGGACTCGGAGGATCTCGGTCTAAATTCTCTTCGTTTACGACCAACATCCCGGAGGAGTCGATCGCGAAGAAATTGGTTGTTAATTCGAACGTGTACGCTGGTTTTGGATCTTCAGGACCCTAAACATCGTTTTTCGATAGTTCGTTAATTCTTGTGTTAAAAGTAATCGGTTTCTCTTATGTTTAGATTTCTTGGAGATGTTTAAATTCAAGTAAGTGTAAATCTGACAATCTACAGAGAAAAATAATGATCTTCTGATAGTTATATCCATTATTTATTGCAGCCTAAATCATTTTTAACGACCGATAATTACAGTCGA